GGGGGGGGGGTGTACTCATAGTCGTGCATGCCGTAGTCGTTAGACCATTGACCTCGCATCCCTACAAAGCCGGGACGGAGCACGCCGGGTTCTCACCGGACCAGGCTCTCACGTCACCAAGTGCGAAGCGGTAGGGGGGGAAGTGCTCGTTTTGTTGCACTTGACCGTGAGTGTCAAACCAAAAACCGAGCTTGTTGCTTGTCTCACACGCTTGCTGCCAGCTCGGTTTGACCTGTGTCTTGTTCCCGTGTCACACGGCCGTGACACCACACGAACACGCCTCCCTCTCCAAAACCAGCCTGCAAGTGCTGGAGCTGACGGACGTCGCGCTGGATGACAGCATGCTAGCCGTCCTCGGCGAGGCCTTCTCCTCGGCGCGGCTACCGCCAGCAGCCGTGGAAGGAGCGGCGGCAGCAGCACGCGCACAGCCGTACAACACGTTTTTTCCGAGCGCGAATGCCGTCGCCGCATCCCAGCAAGACGGAGGAGAAGGAGGCGTGGCGGTAGCAAGCCTGAGAACCCTGGTGCTCGGGCGCTGCGGCGGGATTTCCGAATCGGCGTTCGAGACATTTCTTGACCTTGCCGCGGGGGGCGGGGTGATCCAGGCGGGGTTGGTCGGCAAACGCGGCAGCGGCAGCGAAGAACGTGGCGGCAGCATCAGGAATAGAAAGAACAGCGGGGGCAGTGACGGAGGGGATGCAGCGGCGGTGGGTGCTGCCTACGCTGGCGGCGGGCTTGCGCTGTCACGCGTGCGATTGGAAGGGTGCAGGGCGCTGGGGAACCGGGGGCTTGCCTTGCTGTGCGATGGCGCGAGGGAGCGACTCAGCGACATCCAGGTGGGGTGGATGCTTGCTGCGTTCGCTTGGTCGGTAGGATGCTTGGGTTGGCGGTCTGCCTCTAGACCAGGGCCACATCAATGACATCCGCGAGATCGAGCGACAGATGTGTATACGCCAATTCCGTGTTTTTTTTTTGTTTTCGCACGGAGTGGCACCGCTTGTTTTTCCTCCTGGTGTCTCCTTTTCAGCGGTTGAACCCCTTTTGTGGCCGACGCCTCCGTTGTTTTTTTCGGGAGCGGGTGGAGCACAAAGGTGAAGGCACGAGATGCTGCATCAGCAGTTCGCCTTTTTTTTTTCTGGAGGGGGGGGCGGAGGAGCGGGGCGGCGGGAACTGAACGCACGAGATGTAGAAGCAGCAGCAGCATTTCGCTCTTGTTTGCTGATTAAATTTGATAACTGTGTTAGCTCGCCACAAATGTCCTCCTCCCGAGTCGTATCCGCCTCGCCCTCCTCCGCCAACTCCCCCCACCGGGTGATGCGTGTACCCGACCAATGGACCAGGTCGCCGGCAGCCTGCTGCTCACCGATGCTGGGGTGGAGAATCTAGCCAAGTCTTGTCCGCGGTTGAAGCACGTAGACCTGTCGGGATGTCCGGGGGTGACGAGGTATCCAATGGGGAATCCGAGGGGGGGGGTACTCATAGTCGTGCATGCCATAGTCGTTAGACCATTGCCCTCGTATCCATACAAAGCCGGGACGGAGCACGCCGGGTTTTCACTGGGCCAGGCTCTCGCATCACCAGGCGCGAAGCGCCGTGAGGTATTGGGCGAGTCGCATGAAGGGTGCGCTGCATCCTGCTAAGGGTGTTCGGCATCTTGTGCTTACTTCCTTGCGTACGGATGACAGCTGCGTATGACTTAATTTATTTGCAGGTTCTTTTCACTTCCAGAGACAGTTGTAAGCACTGTATAACTGCCTCGAGGGTGCTTGACCATTGTAACACAACGTGGTTCGATTATCTCCGTTGTGCGGAGGGAGGGTTCTCCACCCCGCACAATGTAATCTCCTCGACCACCAGTAATGGTTACCGCAAAAAAAAAACAAGGCTAAAATAAAGCGGTAACCTGGTTGCCGAACTCACGAAGTGATCGGCTGGTTTTTCAACACCGGGGGGAGCGGCTTGTTTTGCAACGTCGTTGCCAAGCGACGAAAACCCAACCCCGACGGCAAACACCGGGGGGAGCGGCTTGTTTTGCAACGTCGTTGCCAAGCGACGAAAACCCAACCCCGATGGCAAACACCGGGGAGGGAGCGCGGGGGCTATTGTGCTCTTGGGATGTTCGTTTTGAGTCGCGCGATGCGAGGCGGTTCACGACAGTTGTAACTCACGCCCAGTACAATGCTGCTGCTGTCAGCACAGAAGTAGCAGTAGCCGCCCAAAAATCGATTCCGACTCGAACAACAACGTACCATGTGGGTGCTCAGTGTTCCTCCCCCCTGCCTCCCCCCCCGCAGCAATTCCCTGACCCATCTCCTCGCCAAGTGCCCGACGCTGCGGGTAGTCAAGGCGTGGGGCATCAGGCTCGCGGGAAGCCTGGGGAGCCACGCCGCGTCTTCCTCCTTCTCCTCGCCCTCCGCGGAGGCCCTGGCCCTTGGGCAGTCTTTCGAGGCCCGGGGGGTCGAGCTCGCGTGGGCGGGGCCCCTCCCTCCTCCGAGTGGAAGGGTGCGAGAACTGCCCCCCCCGCGAGAGAAGAAGCCCGGTCGTGAGCAGTGGCGACGGGGGCACGGGTGTGGGGTTGACGGCGGGAGTGGTGAGCGGCCAGAGCCAGGAGGCGAAGGAGCTTGGCTTGAGGAGGGGGGGCGCGGTCGAGACAGCGAGGTGGGGGGTACGGGGCAAGGGCGACGCCCTTGCAGGCTGCAGTGCGGGGCCGCTCCCAAGATCGAAGACGCTGAGGACCATTTGGAGGTAGGTTATACCGTGGGAAATAGCTGGGTGGGGCAACTTTAGTATGTTGCTTTTGGGGTCGGCGGACGGGGCCTGTCTTTTTTTTTTTCCGCCTTGCACAAAGAACCCATGTCTGTCCACAGACAAAAAGAGTGAAAAAAAAAAAAAAGCAATTCACACATAAGAATCCAGGCTGAATTTTGATTCCGGCGTCGACCGAGCTAGCTGTGTAAGCAGATCGTGAGCTATGGTGAGCGTTTCGAGTTTTTTTCGTTGCGGGTCGGGAATGAGGCATGTTTTGTGTTAACAGCATCGTATGCTCTCTTTTGGTATCGAACCGTGGAGTTGCGCAGGAAGAGAAGGACGGAACCACATGCGATTGTCGATAATGCGCTGTTTTTGACTCCTCGATTGGACTATTCAATGGATGTGTTGGAACCCGTCCTCCGCTGGCACGACACAAAAAATATCGCACAAGGACACGCGTTTCGACAGCAGAGGGTGAAAGGTTTCCTCGCCGGTCCGCGGGCTTCTCTGCTGTCTCTTCTGGGCGGCGTACCATTGCAAGTTTTAGCTTTGTTTGGGAACGAAGCCTGCTTTCATCCGTTGCCCCGTGTGGTGTCGTTTTGTGTCCTTGGGATGAGAGCATCTTGATCGTCCCTGACGCAGTATCTGCTCCTCCTGTCAAACCGACCCTCTTCCATAACAGTACCGGCGAAAAACGCACACATATACACACACGCAACGACATCATGGCTCCACCCCGTTCCATCCACCGACCCAAGCCTTCTTCACCCACCCACCCCCGGATGGGTACCCCCCACCTGTGTCGGGGCTGCGCGTGGGTGTGTACCGATTCGTGCCTTACAGGTCTGCCCCCTGGCCCCGGTTGACTGCCTGCTCCGAGCGGATGGGTGCGTTTGGAAAGGGACGCGGCGGCAGCGGCGGCGGCACCTAGCGGCCTGCCCCATGTGGCAAGTCATGTGCCCCGGGTGCTGCCGGGCGGTGCACGTCGCGGGTGCGTTCGTCGCCGGAATTCGGTTTGTTTGTCGCCCGAGCGTGGGCGCGGGGGCGGGGCAGGTTTTGCCAGTGCTTGCGGCGGCATTTTCATCGATCGGCACCTCATGCACCATGCTGGACTATCTGACGTTGACACTGTTTTTTTTTCATTTTTTGCCCCTGCCCCAACGCTTGGCGTTGTCTCTTGTCCGTTTTTTTCGAGTTGTCGTTGCGGTGACTGCTGGTACTGTTGGTACGGAACGGGGTACATGGTGTGTCGGTGTTCCGCGACTCTTGACGTTGTGGAAGTTCTTTTAGCCCAGTAGACGTAAATCCAAAACACGCCTGAAGGAGGCGTGCGATGTCACCGGTCATTCAAGAATCTGGTGGTCATGTAGTATTCCCTGGGGCGCGATAGGCGGAAACGATGGCGATTCATTGATGGCAGGGGTAGGTTCGTAATGCCGTCGGTGTAATGTAGTCCCCGCGCTCTTTGACAGATGGCAGTGTAAACAAGAAACAGCGATGACGAAACATGGATTCTGGTGAGCATGCGCTAGCGCTTCTGCTCCCCTCGATTCACTTCCCCAGGCGGGGCAAGTGGTCGGCTTCTAGCATAAATACCAAGACATTTGGAGGAGAAATCGAAAACAATATGTCGGCTCAGAGAGAGTGTCAGCGTTAGATGCTATCTCGGTAGAGGACGTGATGGAGCAGCGACATGCGCTCACACGCCGCCCGCCTGTCGACGCCAACGTCTAACAACACGCCCTCCCTCCCTTTCTCCCTTCCCGCGTCTCCCACCCCGCTTATCCTCGCCCACCATTTCTTCGCGGACCACCGCCCGTTTCGTTTGGGCCATTGGTCCCCTCTGCGAACCTGCCGACTCATGAATACAAAATAAACATGAAAGAGTTCGGCAGGCACCTACTCGGGCACTCCGCCGCTAGCGAGTCCCCGGCTCTCAACCCCCCCGGCTGCCCCCTTCGCGCCTACGGTTGCCTCGCCTGCCGGGCTGCTCCCCCTGCCACCACCAATAGTTGTAGCGGCAGTGGAAGCAGCAATAGCTGTGGCGGCAGTGAAAGCAACGATGACGCCGTCGCCAGCACCGGTCCCAGGATCGGCGATCGCATCCCCAACGCGCGCGCCTCCTACGAGGCGGCGGCGGCGGCGGCAGCGGCGACGGCAGCGGCAGCGAAGGCGGAGGCGGAAGGAGGGGACGGGGTAGGAGAAGAAGGAGGGGGGCGCGGCACGGAGGGGAGAGGGGAAGTGGCGGGAGGGCGGCAGGGCAAGGAACGTGGCCGCAACAACCTGGGGACGTGCCCATGGTACCGGGTCCTCTGCAAGTCCTGCGGACAGGAGGTGAGTTTCTTGGGGTCGACTGCTGTTGCGTTGGTTCTGTGTCCCTCGGCGTTTTGTGTGCATGCACGATACCGCATCTCCGTTTTGTTGTTTTTGGCAGTTTACTTGTGGAGGAAATGTTTTTTGATCGATCTGCTTGCCACTGTTTCTTTTTTTGTAAGCACACAGCTATTCTACCATACCCTTTTCTCTCTCCATCTACACGCGGAGTCGGCGAAGAAACTCCAACGAACACAACAAACGCCCGTCCTTCACGTGAATTTATCCAGGTGGGCAGGAGGGAGTGGGACGCCGGGGAACACAATTGCCCGGTCCAACGAAGGGTGGATGTGCTGGCCAAGCACGCCTCTGGGGCCGGGAAACTCCGTAACCGACAGTGAGTGCACAGCGCTGTATTTGCCGGGGGGCTACGAGCCGAAGCGGTATACTCAAAGCCGACGTCAGGTCAACAGCATGCATGTTTGCTGGATTTGATCATGGTTACAAGGGCGTGTCGGCAAATCTCGAACAACAACGAATGATGGAACACAGCATGTTGTTGTTGTTGTTGTTGTTGTTGTTTTTGCTGTTGTTTTCTTCACAATAAAAGGCGTTCCGATCTCTGTGTCGAGTATTTCCATCTGTCCGTACTGGCCCAACACTTTTCGCGGCCGATTCCCGTGGTCAAAGGCTAATTTACCCAAGGGGGGGGGGGCGTGCATGCCGTAGTCGTTAGACCATTGACCTCGCATCCCTACAAAGCCGGGACGGAGCACGCCGGGTTCTCACCCAAGGGAGTATACTAGAATGCGGGCACGCATGCCAAGAGAAATCGGCGACCGATAGTCTAGAACATCCCGCTCGAACCGTAGACGTTAGGTATCCCATATCTACTTGAAATCGTTTTTTGCTATTTGGGGCTACAATGTGTGCCGCGGAAAAGAAAATGTTAGCAAATGAAAACTTTGGGTGTATTGTCTCCTGGTCGCTTTTTTGGGTACTTGTACCACACTACAGTACCGCGAAGATACGCTCATACCAACAAGCCTGTTAGAGTTCACTTTTTTCTGGGATTCCAATAACCTGTCCAAGTAACGCATCCGCTTGACCCCCCCCCCCCCCCCCCCCCNCCCCCCCCCCCCCCCCCCGATTTTATTTGCGGTACCCCTTCTTGTTATTTCCCAGATGGTTGATCGTGTACGGGTACCTCGGAAGCGGCGGCAAGAAAGGCACTGCGGAGGGCTGGGAAGACAAGGACGCGCACTTCCACGGTGTAAACCCCATGTGTGCCATACCCGACTCCGTGCTCTCGACGTCGCTGCCCCTGCCGGGCCCGGCCGGGGCTCCCGTGTCGCCGGCAACGCCTCCTTCGTAATATCGCGTTTTTTTTTTTTTTTGTCGGGTGGGTTGCCGTGTTATGCGTTGAGGGCGATGCTGGAGAAAGAGAAAGAGAGGTTTGAGTTGTGGTCGTGGTTTTTTGGGAGGAAGTAGAGGGCGCTGTTGATGGAGGAAGAGCGAAGAGCGGTGTGTTTGTCGCAGACGGCTCCGTCACCACCCCGTTGTCCGTCCGCAACAACAGCAACCAGCACAAGCTTCGCTGCAGGGTCGACACGTCGCAAGAATTCGCAAGGTTTATTTTAGCGAACGGCGGACAGCAGCAGTTGGAGGTTAGGTTATGTTCGCCCTCCTTCGGGGAGAAAATCCCCTTTCATTCTTCCATGTGCGCTAAATGATGATTGCCATGTAAGGCAAAGATGCGAGACGTACGCATACAAACGATTACACACGCCCCGTAACGAGCGTGTAGCGTGTTTTACTTAGAGTCGCAACAAAAAAAAAAAAGTGGTCAACTTAAGTGTTACGCCTAGATCCAAGCGGGAACCCATCGCACTCGCGCCTTGCTAAGATTTAGGCGGCGTCATTCCGAGCTGCTTTGTGCTTGGCCAAAGCTATGCATGCAGAGGGAATCTTCGTGTTGTTGTCGGGAGCAAGTAATTTTGGGGGGTCCGGTAGTGACTTGCTCTTGTAGTGGCGTGGTATTACTGTAGGATTGTGGAGAAACAGGTCCGGGTAGGAGAAGCATCATCCATCCGCGCCTGGATGAACGAAGAAAACATACACCCGAGGATGTTGACACGATTGAAAGATGCTCCGAGGTTAGGGTGTCAATTCGCTGGGATTTGTCCCAGCAGGTTTGGTTGCATGGTCTTACGAATGCCCAACGCTGTTTTTCTCACGTTGAATTTTTGTCGGAGCGGAGTATTCTTCAGCAGCTTGAAGTTTTTGGGGGAGAAACACACGAGCGTTTCTTTTTTCTCAGCTGGTCAGAAAAGGAGAGCCTTGGCCCTCCTCGAGATGGAACAGCAAAGGAAAACAGAGAAGAAAACATGGTGTGTTTAGTATATAAGAAGTGAAAGTATTCTGTTTTAGTACGTAGATATTAGTTTGTTCCGAGGTTGTGAATTGAGTCTTTAGTGTAGGAGCAATCGTGACGAGGAGTCACGTGATCGATTGGGAGGAATCGCAGTTTTGAGGGGCCCTCCTCGCTTGGTATGGGGAGGGAAGGTCCTTGCACCTTTTGTGCAGCTTGTTTGAGGCAAATGTCCAATCCCTACGCTATCTGTCTGTGGTCGACGATAGTCTTGGGGGGCTTTTCAAGAGTGATGAAACTCGGTGTTGAAAGGTTCTTGACGGGAGGCAGGCAGAACCGGGCCTTGACCCCCACGGTCTGTGCTATCTATGTGTGCTTTTTCGTGCTATCTATCGTGGCCGCCAGTCTACACGTTCCATATACTGTGTTTGACGCACCGACCGCGTGAACAATTGCAATTTATTGTCAAAGTTGTCTATTGCCCGTGGGCTCTGCTGTCTGGAGCGCGAGGGAGCACGTGACTGGTCTCGATGTCTCTTGTTACGCATGAAACACGCCTTTCACGCCGACGTGATCGCAGTTTTCCTCCCTCCGGCACATGCGGAAATTTCTCCGGGTGTCGCGTTCTTCGTTTCACTTCGCCTTGTGACACGGAGGGGGCACTGCTATTGCCTACCAAAGCGCCGTGGATTTCAACCCCCCGCTGCAAGAAGTACACTCCGTACCATGCGTGGTCGGTTGATGTCAGTCGCACCCGAGCACAAGAAACCAAAAGGTGATTCAAAACGATTCCTGACACCCCGCAAGGTGTGTGGGGAAATGACAAAAGAAAAAACGAAACGATGAAAAAAACCAGAAACGATCGCCCCGATGAGTTTGTGTTTATGCCAACTCCAGCCCTCCGCCACGAAGTTTCTGCCCCCGGTAGTCGCGACCGGACCCCAATCGAATTTTCTAGGGTTGTGGAAAAGCAGGGCTGTGGCACCAACCAAACCATTCTACATCCACCAAAAGGTCAGAGGACCCTGAATCAAAGGAATCGAAGCGAAAGGCTCCTTCGATTCACCGTCTCTCCTGGCTGTCGCAAAGAATCACTCAAAACACTCTGGCTACAGCACCACCAAAGAGACACGCTGACGCCAACACCACCGCTGAGCTGCCTACCCGCTCAACAACCACCCATCACTGAAATAAGGGTGCTGCACGCGACCGCCGTGCCACTCCCTCCATGTGCCCCCCCCCCCCCCCCCCCCCCCCCCCCCCCCCCCCCCCTGGGCCCACCGCTATCGGTGGCTGCAAGCGTTGGGCAGAAGCCCCACCGTGCCGAGCATGATCCTCTGGGCCACGAACCTCACCATGACGGCCATGTCGTCTAGACCCATCACCGCTACGTCGGGTAGGTGAACGAACATCGCCTGCGGGGGGGGAGCGGTGGGGAGTTCCATTGTAGAGGAAGGCGTGAGCGGGCATGGGGGCTATCGAAAAAAGTCATGCGTTTTGACCCGAGGCCGAGGAAAGTCTAGATTTCAACAGTCTCATGAGTGGGAACGTTTCTGTAAAGACTCTCGTTTGTGAATTGGCTCATTAGGTTGCATCACCGGTATATCATAGTCTAGAAACTTCTCTCTTGTCAACTAACGGTAGTCTACATACATCAGGGCCGGGTGAACCGCCGTACAAGATCGGCCTGCGCTGGAGTGCTTACAGGTGGACGGGGAGTCTTTGCGGCGTGCGGAGTACGCGCAAGGGCTCCGAGAAGGGCGCACCAATGCGCGACCGGTGCATCGCGAAAGAAGAAATGCGGCGGTGAGTTTGCAGCCAGGGGCCCAAGACATACGCATCCAGACCTAACGTTAAACTATGCAAGGGCTGTAAAAAACGAGCTCTTGCTGTAGCCCTATAATAGTAACCGCCTATCGAAACAAAACCAACTATTGTAGCATGTTCGCCCTCCGAGAGAACCTAAACCACGAGCAAGGTCGCCCCGTCTACGCACGTACACGCATGTCCGCAAGACTACCTACCGCAAGCACGTGAATAGCGGTCGTCTGTCCCTGCCTCACCAACCCAACACAACCAACCCCCCACCCCCCCCAAAAAAAAACTCGCCGGGATGAGAGAAGATCCATCAACCGACGGGGTGCCCAGCTCGCGAATGGCGTGCAGCGTGCGGTAGAACATCTCGTTGCAGTAGTACGCCCCGGCGTCCCTGCTCCAAGTCTCCAGAGTTACGAGGTCGGCGTGCCCGCCGTCTTGCAGGAGCTCCGCGAGGTCACCGAGATCGAGGAAGGACACGGGTGCCGTGGTGGGGAGAATGCAGGGGGAGCCCTACGCGGAGGCGACAAAGCAGCGCGGTGGGTTCGCACAGAAAAAGGGTTTAGGCATAGTTGTGATAGGATGGGGGGAGCGCGCGCGGGGGGGTGTCTGTTGCAGAAGCATGCAGGGGGTTTGGGAGACAAGCTCGACTTGGTACACGATGTCAATCATGCCTTACTTGCGCTTTGGTAACATGAAAATTCTCCCTCTTTCTGTCTCTTTCTGTCTCTCTGTCTCTCTCTCTGTCTCTCTGTTGCCCTCCCTATCTCCTCCCCTCTCCTATGCGAACCTGACATGGCAGTATCGCATGTGCGGGATGGGAAAGGAGAGGTTGCCGAGAAGAGTATCGGAGGCGAAGTGGGCAAATAAAAACGAGGGGTAGACAACCCACGGAATGGATCAAGGTTGTAGAGGACGTATGGAGGGGGTTCGACATCGACGAAGATGAAACGCTGGAAACGGAGGGCCTAAAGGTGTTCAAGGAGAAGATATCTGTTGCTCGTGCCGAGAGAGAAGAACAGAATCTACGGAAAGAAACCGAGGATAAGGAGGGCCTACAAGTGTACGGAATGTTGAAGGAAGGAATAGGGTTCAAGGATTACCTACATGGACCAATGGATGCAGGGGCAAAGCTCAAGGTCAAATTCAGGACCGGGGAGATGAGCCTTCGAGAACGTCGACGAAGACATAGAACGGTAGACGACGAAGACGACAAGTTCAAATGTGATTGCGGCTTCGAATGCGAAGACCGTGTTCATGTAGTCGCGGAATGTCCGTCCGTGACTGAGCTGGGAAAAATAGAAGG